TTGTTAAAAATTAAAAAGCAAATATTAAGCACTAGTAACTAAAAACGGGAACATGAAATGGAGTGTTTCGTAGCGTGGTGGATGAGTTAACGCTCTCTGGGTGGGGTGGGGGGGAAGAATGAAAAGACTGAAGGCATTTCCCTCGTCCCAAAATAAATTCCAGGACACCTGCTTGTCACCAAGTCTGGGGGTGGGATCTATCTATAACCGCTTTTCCGAGGTTGTTTTAACTTTTGTTTTCATCGTACATCCGTTTCAAGAGAAGCAGCATCAGGAAAGGCCGGAGACCCTGGTATCTCATGGGTGGTCCGAAGAAAGAGGACTCAGAGGGATGGCCTCATGTAAGGAGATGGGAGGTCCCGGAAGGGGAAGGATCCTGTTCCCCCCTCCCCGGCCTTGCAGGGACCCATTCCCGCCGACCAGGACCCCAAAAGCAGGGAGGCACTGCCTCCGAGTCATCACTTACTCGTCCCGTCGTCCGGCTCAAAGCTCCCCGTGTTGTTCCACGTGTTGCTGGTGCTGTTCCCATACCCTTCTTCCGTGCTGGCCGGCTCTGCGTAGTCGGCGGGGTTGAACGTCCTGGGGAGGTGAGGAGGGTGAGGGCGCCTTCCGTGGCACCGGCCCACGGGGCTGCCCTCCCACCCAACAGCCCTCGCTAGTCGTTGAGGCGGGAAGCCACCCCAGCCCCTGGCCCGAGGGCCTGCCCTGCAGGAGCAACACTCACTTGCATGGCATTGGAAGGTGTCTTTGAGTGGAAGAAGTGGCTCTGAGCCCCTACCCCACAATCCTCCTGGACTCGCCTCAGCTCCTTGTTTCCCCCCTCCACCCGCATCATCCCACCCTCTCCTCCAAACCTCTGTCGCTTCCCTTGGTAGCCCCCTCTCCCACACACAAAGGTGCAAGCAACAACGGAGGCTTACCCCATGCCTTGGGCCGAGAACCTTCCCCCGCGCCGTCCCGAGCCACCTGTAAGAAGGCACAAGGAAACACAGTCAGCCCAAGTTGGCCACCTCCTCGAGGGCCCTCCCAAAACAAACTCTACGACACTGGACCAGCAGCCCCTCAGGGGGTGGGGGTAGGGGCGAAAGAAGAGGAGCAGACCCGTTATCCACCCCACAGACCGCCGAGGCTGACGGGACGGTGGTGCGGCCGGGGCCTTGCTTGTGGGCGGTCTTCGGGCTGGGGAACTCCCTGCCCTCCGAGGCAGGTCGAGGGCCTTCGTTATAGGCCTTTAGGTTAAGAGGCCCCTCTTGACCAAGAAGCGGGCGACTGAGGAGCAGGGGAGACCCTTCCTGCCTCATCCCACAGCGGGAGGACCTGCTGAATGAAGCGGATCCAGCCCGGGGGGAGGGGGGATACAGCTTTTTCTGCCGGTGGCATCATGATGTATGTTTATCCCACTCTGCGATTCCCTAGTTTCTGCTCAACTGCTTCTTACTTTGTGGCCACAAAAGGTAACGGCAGGAGGACTACTCCGACTTTCATGTAGGCCCGGATCCATGAGCCAATCAACACGCATAAATGAGCTGAAGCCGAGTCAGGGCTCGAACACCCAAGGAGCCCCTCTCAGGCCAATTTCGTGGCCTCTCCCCTCCTGACCCTCCCTCTCAGAAGATAGTTGCAGGGAGGGGAGGGGAGGAGAAAGGGGAAGCAAAATGTACGGAAGTACAGTCAATCATCCAGCTGATCTGAATCCTTCTGAGTTTGACCCATATCCCAGGAATCGTTGGGCAAGGCGGGCTTTCTACTTGCTAGGAAAAGCAATTTCACAAGTGATTTCGGCTTTCTGCCTGGAGGAGGAGGAGGAGGATGAAAGGCGGGTGAGCCCTGTCAGGCTTTGGGTGCAAAAATCACCTGGGACCTTAAAGATGAAGATGTTTGTTCGACAAACGTGGATTCTAGATTCCTTGCATCAGAAAAGTGGGCTGGGTCCACGACAGCTGATGTCACGTGACCACCAGGCTCCTCATCTTAAATCTTCTGGACTAACCCAGGTGGGTCTTTTGGAGGGAGAAAGATAGCTAGTGGTCTCCCCCCTTCAGGGTCATTTTCATGCTCTCTTGCAAGACGCAGCTTGGCTGGCTTGCTCAACCCGCCTGGAACTTCTCTTCTCTAGCCAACTTTGATGCTTAACTTCCTTGTTCTCACACGTACCTGTCTTCACGATCCAGATTAAGCCTCGCAGAACAGTCTGGAAGCATCTCACCCAAGGCAGGAACCAAGAACTCCTTTAGATCTATTTTTCCCCCACCATCAACATTCTAAACACGCTGGGCGTGTGGGTGTTCTTTGCCCCTCGAAAGGCCAAGGGTGATCCGCCTCTCTTTATGCGCTCACCTCTGCCTCGCCCACGGCCCCTTCGCCCCCGCTCTGTGCCTCTTCCGGACGATCCACCTGTCTTGCCACCATCCAGTCCATTCTCCTGGCCTCGAACTGGAGGAAACAAAAAGGGCAGTCGTTAGGTTTCCAAAGTGGGTGGGAGACAAAACACAGAAAACTCCGTCTGGAGGGAGGCCACAGTGGCGAGCTGCCCTCTATCATGCCAAAGGCTGGCGTACGTTCAGGACAAAACTGTTATATTTAGGGAGTTCAACTACTTGTTGCCAGTGGCAGAGAGATACATAAATCTATACAAGGGGGAAAAAGAAATCTGTCCCCATTCATTTTGGCACACACAACCCGGGGAAATAAAGGTGGCTGAGGTTGCTCGGAGGAAGGAAAAAGCCACGGACATTCATACAGAGAACCCGCTAGCTTGTGACACAGCCTTGGCAGTTTTTTTAAATAGTCATTTTAAAAGACCCAGTGATCCAGTTTGTTCCAGCATCATCGAAAGCTGACGCTTGGGGGGAAGAAAGAAAAAAGTGCTACTGACTTGTAGAAGTTCAAAGGCTTTTTCCCCCCACCCCTTTCTGGCTACCAGGTTTTAAGTGGCCGCTGCCTCCCCCCCCAAATCTACAGCCTCATCCCACGCCAGGGCAGCTACGAGGATGCTTTTATTAAGGAGCGACCCATACACTCTCTGCCACGGCTTGCTCCCCGGCTCCTTCTTGGCAACCCGCCACTCCGTCGTCGGCTGAAATCCCTCTCTCGCTCTCGGTTTTCTTTGCCTTCTTCGCTGGGTTCTGTCTGTCCGCTCTCTTTCTGCCCCGAAATGCCCTTCTTTTTTCCGACCATCTCCCAGGAGTGCTGAAGGAGGAAGAGGAGGAAAAAAAGGTTTGTCAGTTTCAGCCCTCCCAAACTGCTGGCGAAGACGGTCCTTTGTTCCGTGACATGCGCATACACGCAACTGTGCCTCCACCTTGCGTGGCTCCCCACGGATTCCTTCCTTTTTCAAGTAGCTCAAAAGGATCTTTCCACTCAATACCAAAATATTTTGCCAAGAATGGAAGCTTGCCAGATACAGTGGTGCCTCGCTTAACCAGCACTTCGCTTAGCGATGCCTTTTCCAGAGCGATCTTGCGCCCCTTTTAACTATGTTCCCTATGGGCAATTTTCGCATAGCAATGTTTGGGACCATGCTTCGCATAGCGATGACAGTTTGGGTCCCCCCCGTTTCGCTTAATGATGGTTCTGACAGCCTCATGTTGGCTGTTTTTCATACATTTAAAAATGTTTAGAATGCTTGAAATCATAAGTGCACTTAACAAACCCTTTGTTAAACTAATTTGAGTTTGTTCTGACTCTTTTTAAATTTGTTGTAAATTTTTTCCCCCAATTGAGATGCACTGAATAGGTTGCCAGCACGTTTTAGGAGAGGTGGGGGTAGGAGGAGGACATATCCATAAACAGCGCCCAAAATGAGAGCGGGAACAACTCTGGATCCCAGGCAGGCCACCTCTGGTGATGCAAATGATCGCCTTTCTAAAGGCAAAGGGGTTAAAACTTTGATCTACCGTGTCCGGATTCCCCTCCAGGAGGACATTGATGGCTCTGTTCACATCCCCGTTGCAGTCGTGAAGGGCGATCACACACTCGTCCTGGTTCTTGCCCGTGATGTCAATCAGCTGCAGAGCAGGAAAAGGAGAGAACCAAGACCGCCAGGTCACAGGAGACTCTGCGACGCCCACGACCACTCACAACCCTACAGCACTCAATAGCCCCAAACCCTCCACGCGCAGTTCTCCAGAGCTCCGGCGTGTCACGAGCCACCCGTCATGGCTTATAAGGCCAGGCAGAAGTTCGCCCTGGCAAAAACTCAGAAGCCCACCTCCAGAGGGATGGGGTCCCTGCCATTTCCGTAGTGTGGCTACTCCAAAGCGCCTGGGGCTGAAGCTTTTAAGTTGGGGACTGAAACAGTCTCCTTTTACAAGCAGAAACAAATTGAGAAAACGACACACGTGTGCAAAACAAAGAATTGACTAGAATTGGTGTTTTAAAGCCCACCAGTTCTGTTTTTCTCTTTCGTTCATTCTTTTTTTTGGTTTTGCTAATTGTGTGCCTTCTGCCATGGAGGGGGGCAAGAAACATTACAGGGCTAAGAGGAAAAGAGAAACTTTAGCCAGACTCTCGATATACTGCTTTTGGCTTTTTTGATAAACAGCCTTAGATTTCCCTCATCTGCTAACAGCTTTTGTAGAGAAAGCACGCTAATATTCTAATCCCCCTCCCACTACTCAGCTTTTTATTATAATTCATCCGACACACAGCCAGACCGATTTATTATCATGTCCTGATTTTAACTCTGAAATTATTTCTGCTGAATATTAACCATGAACGGCTTTAAAAATCTTAACTTATCAATCTGGAAACCAGATATAATCGCTACAGCCGGTACTTGCCACAAAAGCAGCACATGTTCGGTCATCAAAATGAAAAAATAATCATAAGTGAGAATGTAGTTGTCGCTAAGGTGCTCCCAAGGATGCAAGGAGAAGTTATCAGATTTCATATCAGCTCCTGTCCACTGCCCCACAGCCCAGAAGTGTTTTTGCCAGTTGAACAATCACCGTCACGATGGTTATTGTTGTTTCCATGCCATGGAGGCTCAAGGGGAGACGAACGACTGCCCTTCGGGCCTACGTTTATCTCACAACAACCCTACCAAGTAGGCCAGGTTGAGGCAGAGTGACTGGCCCAAGGTTCCCCGTAGTAAGTTCCGTCCACCACCCAGTAAAGCCCCTGAACCGTGGAAAGGACGCCAGCCCAGAGCTTTAGGGGCCCAACCATCATCCCCTTTCTTCCTCCGACCCCCTCCGGGGCCTTTGGGACTCACTTGTTTCACCTTCTCCTCAAAGTCAGCATCGTTGTGGTCCGATATCATCTGTGCGAGCCGGATCTGCTCTGCAGTGGCCTGTGGAGAGGGAGGACAGAGAGGAGAACGGGTAAGATCTTGCCTTTTGAAAAGGAAGCCCCCAAACAAGCCAGCAACCCAGGGATCAAACGTAGTAAAGAGGAACTCCGGAACTAAAGGGTTTTCAGGGGTGTTTTTTTTCTCTCTTCAGGTAAGGAAAAGCGATAATGTGAAGCAGGATTCCGTGACATCAAGACTGAATCAGAGAGAAGCCTGCTTATTTTTCAACTCACCCGACACATCGCATTTTTTGCCCTCATTGGTTAAACATCCCAAAAGATGGAGCGAGGCCCGAGATCCTGATACCCTTTGCGCAGCTTCCAATTTAATGATGCACCCTACACCTTGTCCCAACTTAACCCACCAAGCTGGGAACTCAACTCACTGACCTCAGAAAGAAGGCCTTGAGTTCGCGACCTAAGCCCATCGAGATAGTACTCAGGTCATGAGCAGCGTCTTGACGGCAGGACTGCAGTCAACTGCCATCAAACAGAGCCTCCCCTGCTGACCCCACATGCAGGATGGGGCCTACAGGAATCGTAGCCCAATGCGTCTGGAAGGCCCACCCTACCAGCAGGAGCCTAAGCTGAGATTTCCTTCTGCTTCAGACTGGCCAATAAAAGCCACCATCCTTTCCCACCTCCCAAAGGGGCACAGGATGAGAGCAAATAACCAGGGCGTGGGGAAGATATTTCTCTTTGTCTTCCAGGAAGACACTTGGCCGGGAACGACTCTTAGTCACAACAGTACGGGCGAGGGAGCCAGGGGGCAGAGCTCCCTGGCCCTCCCCAGCCACCGAGCTGAGCCGGTTTCTGTGGACACTCCCTGGCCTGTGTCCAGCCTCACCCACCTGTGGCCTCTGCTTGTGCTGTGCCTGATTCTGTGTCTGCTCCCAGCTTCCACGGGCCCGGTTGGTGCCCACCGAGGTCATCATTTACAGTATATACAAATAACAGTATTTACAAGGTAGAACTCTGTAAGGGGAAAAAAAAAGAGGACGCTCATCAGTGAATGGCACAGTCACAGATTCAGCTGCTCTCTAGCAAACAAGAATGCCTTTAAACACACACAAAGGGAGATTTAGGGAGGAAAACCTCTGAGCCAGGATGTATTCACAAATTTAACTCTATAAACACTGGCTTGAACAGGAATAAGCAAGTATTAACATAGCACAAATACAAATAAACAAGTTGGGTTTTGCTGCAGTCCCTATAGCAGAGGATTACACACCAGCCCTCCTCTCTTTGAACCTTCTCCTCCGTCTTGTGATCCTGTTCTGTGCTATCAAGTCGGAACTGATTTATAGTAACCCTGCTGGGCCTCTCCAGGTAAGGGACACCTTTAAGGAGTGTCTAGGCCAGTTTCCCATCCTCTGTGAACTTCTATGACCGAGCGGGGATCCAAACCCGGGCCTCCTGAGTCTGAGTCCATCATTCTCTCCGCTACAATCACCCTTTCATCTTAGGCGCAGTTAAATTCGCCAGCAACGTGGGGGGGGGGTCGATCTTGCACTTCCCGGATCCAATTCTCATTCCTCACAGACATGGGTCTCTCACAACGATTCCAAGGACTTCAGCCTTTCCTCGTTCTTTCCATTCAAGCCCAAGACTTATTTATTTATTTATTTAAGAACAAACTTTCGATAAGCTCACATCCCCAAGGAAAGTTTCCATGACTGATGAAAAGCTACCGGTTCAGCTGAAAAAAAAAATGAGCCTTTGATGAACTGGCAAGTTAAGAGCTGCAACGACGCTCACTTCACCCTTCTGGCCTCCAGCGACCCTCAGAGGGGTGACCGCCCAGAGGCCCTTAGCCAGGCCACATCAGATGCAAAGTTTGAACCACCTCTTCTCAGCCACAATAGAGCACCGGCTCTGAACAAAGGGACTGACAAGGTTTACATCGCATCCAGCATTTTTATCAGTCGAGAAGGGAAACTCCAGAAGGCAAAGGAAAACCAAAACTGGATGTCATCGCTTAAATTCTGGATTTCAAGGAATGTATTTGTTCCACCGTAGGGCCTTATCTCGGAACAGAGGACAATCCATCTTGTCTTTCCTACCTTTGGAAACGCATTCAAGAAGGAAAGGTAGTCTTCCAAATATAAACATTGATAAACTTTGATGCATCCTTTGAGAGGGAACACAAGCAAAGCAAGACACAAAATAGAAACCAAAACCCAAAGTTGGAGGCCGCTCTATGGGTCTCCTGAGAATGAGGCAATGGCTATCCTTCACATGAGGAAGACTTTTCAGCCTCCTCCAGCCCACAAAGACAGGCCGGAATGCATCTCCTTCCCAGTCTGCGCTGCTAAGACCTTATTCTGCACCCATCAGGCGCTCCCACTGACATGATTCAAGAAGAAGCAAGTCTGTTTCCAGGAATCTAATCTGCTCTTTTGATCATCCACAGCAGAAGGTTCTTAAAAGTCTCTCAGGGCGCCACAGCCCAAGATGGAAGCATTTCCCAACCACGACCGCAGGCCTGTTCGTAACTGGAATGCAGACGGTACCCTCTCGGGCATAGAAGTGCAGGAAAAGGGAAGCAACAGGGATTCTTTGAACTGGGGGAGTGGAAAAAAGAGAATTCACTCAGTTGTCAGTTGCCTTCATTGAAGGGGAAAACCATCAAACAAGAAATGAACTGCTAGAGTGGGGGGGGGGAGAGGCGTTCAAGAATTACGCAAGTCTCAGAGCTGGCATCCAAGCAGAACGAGGAATACACCACCATCATTCCCGAGCAGCGCATCTGGAGGACCGGGAGCCCTCCCGAGGGGCTCCTCAGACCTCAAAAGTCCAAAATTACAGACAAAATTTTCCAGCACAGATCCCAGAGCTCCGAAACAAGACTCCGATCCATTCATGAGCACGGCCCCTCTGCTCGCCTCCACGCAAAGATGCAGTGGCTGGTTACGGAGGGAGCCTTACTCTCTTCTAAACCAACCCTGGTTACTGGAGGCAACTTAATATTTTAGCCATCGGTTCTTTGTGTCCCTTGCTGACCTATTCCAGAGGCATCCTGCAGGATTTTTTTAAGGTGTTTACCTTCAGAGGGGTGATACCTGAGCAAGAGAGCATATAGCTGTGTGGAGGTCACAAAGACAAGCCCCTCAAAAACTAAACTTTAGTCCCAAGGACTCTCGCGACCACGCCAAAGATCTCTTCTGCGCCTAGAGAGAAGCTGCAAGCTTGAATAGAGAGACGGGGCTAGGCAGAGTTGTTGTCAAGAGGGTGCTTGGCCTCCCTCTCTCCCTGCGAGGAAATGGTTAGGCCGGGTGGATAAAAATAAACCATCTCTCTAAATCAAATTGATTTAAATCATGATGTAAATTTTAAAAACTGATTTTTGGAAAAAAAAATTGAATCATCAACACCCTCATTTTTTTCCTCCTTATTTAAATCAAATCCACCCTGCTTTGGAGGGTGGGCCCCCTGTTCCTGCTCCCACATCAGTACTACCTCTGCCCAGTCCAGGGAGGTACAAAATCTAAATCGAACGAGAGCTCACTGAAGATGGGAAGGAGAGGAAGTTCCTTGTTTTTAAAAAATAAACAAATAAATAAATGGCAGGATAAGAAGGTACTAAGAAAATTTAGTAATAAAAATAATGTGCTATCAAGTCAATTCTGACTTATAGTGACCCTTTTCTGGGTTTTCCAGGTAGAGAACATGCATACTCTGGGAGCAAAGCAGGGGCGAAATTTACGGCCCCTGGCCTTTGCAGGGTTTCCTCTAGGCATGTAAGAACAGCCCCACCGGACTTCAGCAAAAGTCTGCCATTTTTCCTCCAGAACCTTATTTCTAACGTCTGTCATCCAGGAATTTCCAGACAGCCTCACAAAACGAGGCAGGAAGGCCCAAAGAGAAAATCAAGGAAGCATTCAGAAAGAAACCTCACTTCTCGTATTAAGTTGGTGACTTCCATCTCATGTGCAAGATAAACTTCCTGTTGATATATTGGGCTCCTGCATCAGCTGTGACTAGACTTAAAGAGGTATCTGTTTTCACTTTCTGGAAAGCAGTTCTTTCGAGTCAATCCGGGGGCTTGCATGATTTATGCTTTTGCATTTATGCTTCTGACACCCCTAACCAAGGAAGCCTCACCACGGTGGGGAGAACAGCAGCGTGGGAACACACAATAGGCCCGCTGCTTTGCTTTTGATGAAGCATTTGGGCTCCTATAGCACCAGGTCTCTGCCTAGTTAGCTGGAAGTCAATCCATGGACCTTAGAGAGACTTGCTAGGATGGCAATATCAGAGTCGATTTTTTTACCTAACATGAGTTTTCTTAGCAGTTAAACCCAAAGCTTTTGAAGATCCCTCTGGGCAAAAAGGAGTTTGGAAAATCTGCATAATAATAACAAGGATCAAATTATTGACTAATCAGTAAGGTGAGATAAGACTAGACTAACTGTTTGAACCTATTTCTTTGACATGAAAACTTCTTTTGACCAACAAAGAGAAATTCTTTGGGATGCGATTATCCTCCCACTTTGCTATACTGAGTGTTAGGGCGCCAGAGCTAAGAAGAAAGGCAGGGAAAATGTCAATGTGAGGCCCAAGCCTTTAAGAAAGCTAGAAATACATAAACAAAGTAAGTCAGCAGTCACTCATACAGTATCTGTTTCCCAATAATAGAACCGCCACCAGCTCTTCACACAAGGAGCGCTGCAGCCAGCCAAGTATGGCAGGACACGCCAAATCATTATCATCATCTCCTTAGAACTGCAGAGCTGGAAGGGAGCCCATGGAATCATCTAGTCCAGCCCCTGTCAAGGCGGCACTCCCAACCTCTGGTTCTGCAGCCAGAGGCCTAAACCAGTGAGCTATCCAATCCTTGTGTCATTCTATAGACCGTGGGAATGATAGACCAATACATTTGGTGGCTAAAATGGGTCTGCATAAGGTCTACCGGAAGAGTAAGGTAGAGTGGGGGGCAGGGTCTAATGATCATGCAAAATCTAGGGAGTGGTCAAACCTTCAGGAAAACCACAACAACTAGCTAGTTAGGTTCTTTAAGTAAATGATGGTCTTCACTATCGGAATTTCAAGCCAGGGTTCTTCAACATCTTGCCACGCTCTCTGTTAACACAGACCACCCCTGCAGTTGCAACTTTTGACCAGTCCTGGAGAATTCTGGCTCCTTTAAATGGCCATCTCACACAGGGGGTAAACAAGGCCAAAAAAAAAAAAAAAAGACATCATCTTAGGCCCATACAGAAGAAACTAAAAATCCTGGCTCTGTTACTTTAGCTCTCTCGGTAACACCGCCTTCTTTCACCCTAACCTACCTCATGGGGTTGCATGACAACAGGGCATTTCTGCTGGATCCCGGTGGCCTGGGTTCGAAAGTTTATTTAGACCCACCACTAGCTAGGGCTGAACCCACATAGAGGTTTGTGTGACATAACACTGTCTGAACTCCCCACATCCTTAACTGTTTGAAGAAAAGCATATATAAATAGAAGCCATCATAAACAAGAGGCTTGAAGGGAAACAGTTGAGAAAGTAACAATCAGATTAGCGAGAGGGGTACCGTGAAGATAGCCAAGAGTTTTGTGGCATCTTCGGTGCTAACAGGCATAACCTTTTATGAAGCACACGACAAAGAAATCAGAGACACACCCACCCACAAAACTTAAAAATAAAACTGGTTAGGAAGATGTCACAAGACTCCTGGTCATTTTTCTGGAGAAGACTTCTAGGGCTGTAAAGTCTAGCATGAGCAGGCATCACCTCGAGGTCCAGATGTGGTTAGAAATATGCCATTATGAACAAGAAAGCGTTTTCACTTGCAATCCAAGAAATTGGGGGAGGGGGAGCTGCTTGAGGGGCCCAATCCTCATGCTCCACCCCACCCCAAAATGAATCATGGAAGTGGGAAGGGGGCCTATGAAGCAATTTGAGTTTGAATCCTGGCTCAAGGCAGGAGTACATATCAAAGGATATCTGCCAGGAGGTTGTCTAAATCTCTCTTGAATGCCTCCAGCGTTGGGAGCGCTCACTCCTCGTTTTTTTTTTCCTGGTATTCAGCTGAAATATGGCTTCCTGTCACTTGAGCTCATTAGGATCTGTCCTGTATTCTGCGGATGATTGAGAACAAATTCTGCCCCTTTTCTGTAAGCCTCCGTTTCAAGGATTTGAAATGTGTTCTCTTATCTCCCTTCGGTCTTCTTTTCTTCTGGCTAAACAGGCCCGGTTCTTTCCTCCTTCTAGGGCTCGGTTTCATCCCCGTTGCCTTCCTCCGAAGTTCCTCCAGTTAGTCAGCATCCTTCTTAAAAGTATAAGGACCCGAAGTCGAAGCATCCTTCTTGAAGTGTGGTGTCCAGAACTGGACACAGTACTCAAGATGAGGCCTCACCAGTGCCAAACCGGGGTGGGTGGGAGGGAGACCAGCACCTGGCAGGATTCAGACCCCTGGTGCTACCCTCTTCCACCACCACCCCAGCCCATCAGGAGGGCCGTCTGGCCCCAATCCTGCCCCCCCAACCTCCAGAGGAGCCAGGCAAACCCCCACATCGCCCAGGGGGGCGATCCTCTAGTCCGGAAATCCCATTCCCAGGAGGCCTCTATTCTCTCCCCCTTTTAAAGGTAAAAATCCTGACTCTCAGGCAGCCCAAGAAGGGCGGCTTTCTCTGGGCCTCCTTCCACGTGGACCTTCCCTAACTCGCCAGGGGACTTGAGGAGGCCAGAAAAGGGCCCCCTCCTCCCAAAACCACCACCAACAAAAAAGGGCATATCACATATATATATTTCAAAAAATAAATGACGGAAGGGGGGCGATTTCGTGCCCCTTCTCTTCTCTTTCCTGGAGGAAAGGGGGGCGGCGAGGAAGGCCGATCCTTCCCCACCACCATCGTCGGGGTGGCGGTGGTTGTTGTTTTTTTAAAGGGAGGGGAATGGAAAGGAAGGCGAGTTGGGACTTTTTTTCCCCCCTTCCTTGTTCGGAAGGCGGGCCCCGTCCCCGAAAATTCCCCCCAAAACCGGAACCGGGCGGCTTTTGGGGCCTCCGAGCCGGAGCCGAGGGCCTTTTTTTCAAGCTGGATTTGGGAGGGGTGGTCGGTTGTGTTTTTTTCCGCCCCGAGGGTTTCCCACAGAAAGGCCGGCGGAGAGCAGCGGCCTACCTCGGACGACACAAAAGGAGAGGCGTCGAGCGGCGGGGAAGGAAGGAAGGAAAGGAAGGAGGCCGGCCTTCAAACCACCACCACCACCATCCCCTCAGCCGCACAAGGAGAACG